CCTCATTGTGTAGTTAAGACTATGAAATCTAAGGAAGCTTAAAACAAAACAAAACTTTACCCAAGTCTCACTAAAAATTATAAAAAGACCCAAATGCTTTGCCTCCACAACCCACATTTCAATCAAATATGCTCTTATTTGGAATCATGACAGCAAAAGAGAACATCCAGGCACCATGGAAAGAGAGAGAAGGTAAGAGCAGGGAGTCAAGGGCAGAACCCTGAGGAATATAAATATGTAAGAATCAGGAAGATGAAGAGCCCTTAGAGAAGACAGAAAAAGAGCAGTTAGGAGAAAACCAGAAGAGTACAAAGCCTCAGAAGCCAAGTGTGCAGAGAGTAACAACAGAAAGAGTGTCTAACAGAGTCAGAGACAGTAGAATACTCAAAGAGCAGGGCTGGGAAGTGTCCATTTGTGTTGACAGGTAGGCCTAGTCCCTGACAATTCCTCTAACCTCACAGCAGCATCTGTAGCCAGCCATATTCCCCACTCAGAACCCCAGTGGTAAGAAATGAACTACAGATGGCTAGTCAAGTGCTGACTTGGGAAACATTGACCTATTGCTGGTTCATTCTCATTGAACTCTACCTCTAGAGGCCATCTTCATGTTTTGACCTGGTTAGGTAGGTCGTTGTGACCTGGCTTTTGGACTCTACTTGTGTGTGCATGTCTGAGGTCTGGATTGCTCTCTCAGCTTAGGAAACCCAGTCTTACACCACATCCCTACTGTTTGGTTACCACCTCCTACTTGAGGGAGTGAGGTCAGACACTGTCCCTCAGTCCACAAGACTGTGTCTCCTGCTAATTCTCAGCAACTCAGCTTTCAGAAGGGAAATAAAGAGTGTGGTTTCAAATGGTGGCTGCTATATCTACTCTGTAGAAGTGGCAAATTACTGACAATGGGCTTCTGGCTTTGAGGTCACAAGTTGCTGCTCAGACCTTGCCAAACCTTGCAACGCCTTTTGCCAGAACAGGATCTCTGTCTTCAGGTGGCCCTCCCATTGGCTGTACTTCTTAATCCAGCCATCTTAAGCAGTTTAGGGAGATATAAGATTTATATTTGGGGACAAGAGGACACGTATGAAGTGGAACCTCTCATATATGGAAAAATCAAAATGCTATTGTCCAACTGCAGCCTGGAAGGCCACACAATGGACACCACTGGGACCTTCTCACAGCCACAACTAACTGGCAAGAGCCTTTGATGTCCACAGAGTAGCCAAGTACAGCATTAGGGTAGGTAAGCATCCAGACCTGCTTCACTGCCAGAAGCTTGAACTGAACTCTAAGGTGAGGGCATCAGAATCCTCTGGCATCTTTGCTGTTTGCATTCAGCTAGAGGCTGCACATATCTATCACCCTTCCATGACTACACCCCACCCAGCGAGGGTTATCAGATCTATTAAATCAACACACAGGAAAACCCAGTTAAGTTTGAATTTCAGATAAACAACAAATACTTTTTTAGTATAAGTATATGCCAGACAATATTTGAGAATGTGCTTACACTAAAAAGTTTTTCAATGTTCATCTAAAATTCAAATTCAACCAGGTGGCCTGTATTATATTGGGCAACCCCCCCTAACCTGAGCTAGGAATTCATAGACCTTGGGATCCACTGGGCTTCCACTTCTCACAAAAAGGTATTGGAACACTTTGTGAAGGAGAAAAGCCAAGAACTGGGGCCTCTGCTAGGACTCCTGGGGTCCCGATCTGCCTGGTCCCCACATGGTCCTCCTGGGCCAGCTCTGGGTATGCATAAAATTAGACATTCTCAGTTCCTATAACCTTGTTTGCCTTTCATTAGCTGCATTTGGAAAATAAAGAGTAAAAGATTACTTTCTAGAAGTGCCTAGATAATTTTTAGAGACCACGATACCTCTTATCCTGGTGTTTGTGCTACTTTAACCATGTCCTAATATACCTTTAAATATCTACACACATCCCTTGTACAACTATGCTTCAGGTCATCCTCTAGTCTAACAGTCCTGGGTTTTCTGAAGCATCAGCACCTCCAACACAGTCTCCAGAAATGCATGGCATTTTTGAACCAAGTTCATTGTAGCTAAGTGTCCATAATTCCAGACTGAGAGACCCCCTGGTCACTTGAGGACACCTAGACATTCCAAGATATGCTTGATAGCAATTTGTTATTTTCTGTGGAACTGACCCAGTAATGACCTCCTGACCTCCTAAAAAAAGAGAAGGAAGTTGGCCTGATGTGCTGAGGTTGACACCATTTTTCAAGCAACTCAAGACTCTCTTCATTTCTGCTCCATTATAGTGTTAGCAGGAACTTACTGTGTGCCAGGCACTCTTTTAAGGGCTTTACCTATAATAACAAATTGAATGCTCCCATAAGCCTATGAGGTACATGCTGTTATTATCACTGTTTTAGAGATGAGGAAACAGAGAGATAAAGTAATTCCTCTAAGTTCACACAGGTAAAAAAGCTTGCTAAGATGTACAAGCTGGGTATTGGATGTGGGCAGTCCAGCCCCAGAGTAGGTCCTATTCACCTGTTTGCCAACTCTAGGCAGCCTGTACCAAATTAGGTTCAACTCTACACTCTTGGGACTGGTGCTGGCAACACTGAAGGGACCACCCTGACCGAGGAGAAGACCTGCCCTGTCCTCCATTATTCCTGTTTAGGATTGCTATCAGGATGTCTTCAAGGCCAAGAGGGTCTAAGGCCTGATGGTGAGCTCAGTCTGCAGTGGCCTGGAACAGCCAGAACAAACCTGGAAACTCAGCTCATGCTATGAGGTGGCTCACCTTATCTCATTTGCCTCAGTGCCCCATCAGCTACATACCTGGCAACAGGATCACAGAGCAGTGGCCTAGATTGTAAGCCTGGGTACCAGGGGCAGTGGAGAGATTTTCCCCCGGGAGACTCTGACTTGAGCACTGGAGTCATCTTCCAGACATCTATCCGTGGGCCTCATCCAGATCCAGAACCTCTTGAGAGCAACCCAGAGGGGTGTAAAATACCAGGAAAGCCTTTCTATGAGTAGGGTAGTGTGCATCCCACCAGATGCAGCATCTGGTATCCTTGGGCCAGACAGCTCAGGCAGCTGTCTGTTCTGCTCCCAAAACACAGTCTTTGGCCCTCTTGTAAGTGTTCTGGTACACTCTCATGACACTTGGACTGCAAGCAAAAATGACCTGGGCTTTCTGAAGAGCAGCTATGACTCCTGATCAGCATATGCCTCCGGCACTGTGTCTATGGGACTTCTCTCTCTGTCTGCCTTCTTGCCCAGTCGTGGCTGTTCTGGTGGTAGTGATGGCTTTATAAAGATGGCATGCTTCCCTCCCTGCTTCTCTCCTTTATCTATTCCAGTCACTTGCACCCTGATGGATAAATGAGAGTTCCTACTTTCCTGGTCTGTCAAAGCACTGCTTTCCAACCAGAGCCTTGGGAACTATCAAGTCCACATCTACCCGCTCACTGGCTCTGGATAGATGATGAGGGTGGTGCTTAAGAAATACCTGCATTCTTTTACCTTTCCCACACAGATGGCTTCTCTGGCTAGTGTTGCCACCATAGACTTTGCTTTCAGAATTTATCGTTTCCCACTTTCCAGAACTGCTTTCTTTGCAACAATGTTTTTTTTTCATCCTTAAATTTTCTTGCACCACTTCTTCCCAGCACTATTGATACTTCTGTAGCTAGGTAGTACTTGAATGAGCTTGAGGGAACTTTGATGAATGTACCATGTTCTGGTATAGAGAGAAGGTATGAGTTCACGATGCCATCTAATTGTCCCCCTAGCACAATCAAATGTGAAAGCTAAAGGATTGTTGATAATTATACCACCAGCAACAACAGCTATCACTTATTAGGTACTTGCTATGTGCTAAATGTTTGCATATATTTTCTCACTTAATCCTACAACAGTGCATTAAGGATACTGTTTTAGCTCCACATTGTAGCTGAGAAAACTGATTCACCAAAGATCAATAACGAGTAAATAGTAGAGCCAAATTTTGAACCTCAGTTAATTTAAAGCCTGGGCATCCAGCCACTCTACTGCCACTGTCATAAGTCAGCTAACTTCCTCCATGTCCAACCTTATAGCTTTACCAACCACCACTCCAGTGATGAGGGGGGATAAACATAAATTGTGTTCCCAAGAGAGAGTCGACTCATTATGACACCATGGCTGACCTCACCAATGGGACCATGGGAAAGAATAAAGACACATTGTAATTTGAGCCTTTGAAACAGAGACCTTACCCGAAGGAATTAGGAATTTGTAATAACGACTTTCCTGTTTTGTTCAGGGATGGATCCCAAACACCCATAAACATGCCTCACTTGTTAACAGACATTATCCCAACAAACATTAGCAAGGGAGCCCAGGAAAGTGGGTTTGGCCTGATAAAGAGACAGGAGCTATAGCAAAGCTGGATGACAGGAAAGTTGCTTTTAGTAGATCCAGATGACAGAATACTTGTAACCGTGGTACACCATTTCTTAGCTACTCTTTGCAGGTTTGCTTTTTCCTATCCTATTTCAGCTAACAAATTCTGTTTACTCTTCATGTATTTTCTCTTCTACATAATTGCTTATTTTTAAATTCTGCTTTCTTATCTATCATACTGCTCTGCTTCCTCGTGGCTTTAGTTTGTATAACCATGGTGCTCCATGGCCCCTACTCCATTGTACAGCATCCTTTCAACTTTAGTTTTCATGGCAAACTACCTCACTATTTCTATGTCTCTCAGTTCAAATCCCAGAGGAGTGAATCTCATTGACCTCATCTTTTAAATTTGATTGAACCTGTCTTTTCCATTTATGCCCTGGGTTTTGGAGAAGCAGCCTTCATGTCAAAGGCCAATCCCTGGTCCAATCAGGAGCCATCCCTGGGTAAAGAACAACCTACCTCTGCTTTTCAGAACAGGGGGCTGTGGGTGGGGCAGTTTCATCTTGAAGAGGAAGTTGGGTGTGGCAGGCACTTTGTTGACATATCCAGTATAGGAGTGCTCCTGGGAGCCCATCGCTCATCTCTGAAAAGTGACTCTGTAGGTTAGGACTTGTCATCAGACAGCCCCAGGAGAGCCCAGCCAAATGCAACTGGTAACTTGCTGAGTTTGGAATTCTTGGCCTGCCATCTCCTTGTAGTCTTCCTTCTGGGACTACCTTGAATTGTAAGCTCATGACCTGTTTGAAGTTGGCTTGTTTCTGGATTCCCTCTTCTACTTAGGTGAGTTGACCTCTGATTAGACTGCTTGACTTTTGGACAAGGTGAGTGTTTAGATTTAGCTTTGGTCTTGGATCATGCTTTGAGCTTGGATGAAATGGCCTCCCTTCTTGCTCCCTTGCTCCCTTGCTTCTACTCAACTTTACTCTGCTCCAAGTTATCACTTACCTGAGGGTACCTTCCCTTCCCAGCCCATCAACATATTCCTGAGGGAATGACATAAGAAATAGTTGGTGACTTCAGTGAGAGCAAATTTAGAGGGATGGTTGGGGCAGAAACCAGATAGAAGCAAGTTGAGGAAGTGGAAAGAGTGAGTATAAGACTACTCTTCTGAGAAGTTTAGATGAAAAGAAAGGGAAGAAAACAGCACATTTAAAGAGTTGTTTTATTTTTAATTTTAAGAATTTGCTTCTTATTATATGATACATAACTCTGGAAAAATAAAAAATTTAAAAAATAAATTTATAATTTCCCATAATTTAATTACCCACATAATTGTGATAGTTACTAATTTTTGAGCACCTACTCCATAGAAGAATCATGTTAGTCACTTTATAAATAGTGTTTCTAGTCACTGTGTAATACAAAGGACAAGATGAGCTAGAATTAAGACAGATATGTCTGTGATGCAGAACAAGACAATGTTCCTTCCCCTCAAGCAATGATTGACATACCTTGATTTGCAAGGGGGCTGAGAAGTTTACTTGGGGAAAACTCAAATCCCGGCTTCAGTAGGGTTTTAGTCATGGGTAGATACATCTGGGGAGAGTTATAGGCAGTTTGCTGGTAGATATATTGGGACCCCTAGGGAGTATACAACTTGTTGAGGGAGAAGTCTGATATGGTAAACTGGTCTTTAGTCCTGGAAGGCCACAGTCAGTCTGGCTGTCACGGGGCAGGGCCTTACTCAGCTTCCCTGTATGTGTTTTCCTGGAAGAAGACAAAGAAGAGCTTCTGTGTAATAGAAAGAACCATTTCATGAAACTCTGCAATGCCCTAGGGCCTGTCGGTGGGTGGGCAACTGAGTGTAGCACCCAGGAAGAGAGTTATGCCTTCCATATTTTGAAAGAAGATGCTTACAGGCATCACGGGAATTATTTAGGTCTAAATTCCCCACAAAACTGGTACTACAGGGCCAGCTGTGGTGATAGAAAGCGTTTTTGTCTAACTTGTAGCAAGGTAATGGTAGCTAACATATCAGTTCAGTAACACTTTACCTTAAGTGTTTATGCTGAAAAAATGGACTCTCTTACTTCCTCTTTTTCAAAAGCATTGTTGACTAGAAGAACAATGCAGGGCTCTGAACGAGGCATAGGTGTGGGCTTCTAGCTCACCATGGTGCTGTCAGAGCCAGCATCACACTTGTCCAGCTAAGCTAATTGTAACAATGAATGATGGTATAGCTGATTCAAGAACACAGATAAGGTCTGCCCACTGGTGTCTCTGCTCAAACAATACCTTTTCCATAAGACCATCCTGTATAATATAAAACTGAACACCCCCTCTTCCTCACTCCCAACTTTCTCTCCATAGCACCTATCGGCATGAGGGTTGTGTCCGTGTCTTTGTGTTTATTGTTGTGTCCCCAGAGCCTAGATCAGTGACTGGCACATAGTATTCAATATCCATTGAAGTCATTCATTTTGTGGGTTTCTCAAAATATTTGGGAAAGGATGAGAACAACTAATATTTTAAATTAGCATCTTGAATTATAGCCTGGGGGCATCTAGGACATTTCTTAAATTTACCATAACTCTACAAGACATGTGCTATAATATGCCTATTAGACAGATGAGGAAACTAAGGATTAGAACAAAAGCAACTTGCTTTAGGCCTCTTAGGGCTGGGGCCAGTGTGAACTGGTGTAAGAAGGAAGAAGGCCATGTAGAAGGTATTGTTATAACTGAAGTAAGAAATAACAAAGCCTTGATTGATGTGGTAGAAATGGGAACAGAAAGAAAGAAATGGAAAGGAAAGGAACTGTGAAGGCTGATGAGAAATATGGGAGACAGAATTCAACACGCTGCTAGAAGTAGCCTGTAAAAGTCAAATAAAGAAAGGTGGATTTCTTCTAAGAAGGAGGTAACTTCAATTCCTTTCAGAAAGAGAGGATTGGCTGGTTGAAAACCAATAACCAAATAGGCCAAGTAAATTCAAGTCTCTGGAGCACTGAGAAAGGCTGTGGTAAAAATACATTAATGTACATTTCATACTTGGATTTTAATTGCAAAACAGATGAGAGTAAAATGCCTCTGGCAAAAAGAGTCAAAGTTGAGTCATAACATAGAGAAGATTCTGAAGGGAGTGTCCAAAGAATGAGTAAAAAAGCAGTGCAAAGCCTTGGGGAGAGGGGATTCTCATATTAGGATTCGGGGTTGTAATCATGAAGTTACTGAGCAATATAAGAAACTCTGGAAATGGGCCTTGGATTAGCAAAAAGGAACTATTGGATCCAAGTAAGAAGGTCTGGCCCACTCCACTTTCCACTCCAGCTCATCAGCTGGTGTTGCAAACTATCCTGTGACCCTCCCAGAGGTTTTGGAAAGGAAACCAGGTGCTGATAACTGGTTCAGAAGGGCCATCGGGATGGTCAGCCATACATGGTGAAAGGCAGGTAGGGAAATTGAAGATTAATGCATGTAAGAAGCTTCAAGAGGCTAAGCCCATCCCAGCCACTCAGATACTGTCTATAGGGGTGGCAGCCTATTTGTTTATTGGATCAATATTTACTGAGTGTTCTTTATAGGCCAGGCCTTGTGCCAGCACTGGGCTAAGTGCTGTAAACTGAGCTCTGAATAAATTATTTTCCGATTTTTCTACTTTCTTCTGGAGAAAGAATTGGAATGACATCTGGCTCTCACTGGCACAGAGATTGACCAGGGCTAGGTCTGTGAGAGGCAGATATCAGCTTGGGCAGAGAAGTGAGGTTGGGGTTGACACAATACTTATATTGTAACTGAATTTGTATTTATTTTCTATGCTCAACTTGGTAATGTTTGTTTTATATCTGATAAACAAATTAACTATTGTATATTTTCTTATAAGTAACTTCTAGGTATACAGTTATGATATTTGGGGGAAGGGCTTTTGATTTTCAGCTTTAACAGCAATAGCATGCCTACATTCCTGGGCTTGACAATCATCTAAAACAAGTATATTTCAAATCTCTCAGTAGAAGCAGCAGCAAATCAGGGAGAGCACGGGATCCATCACCTCTTTATTACATGGCTAAACCATGAATCACAGTGGGGAAACCCCAGCAGGGTGTAAGTGTTTTAAATCACTATGAGAGCAGAAATTAGTGTACATATACTCTGGAGAGATGATCCCTACCCATAACTCTTTGAGACACAACATTTGGTAACCACTTAACTCATAAGAGCAACATGGCAATGAACTTCGCTTAGGGTCTGTGCCCTATTTCACTCAGCCTGCAAATACGCCTACACGATCACCCCTGTTCTCCCAGGCAAGAAAATTTGTCTTAATTAGCCAAAGAGAATTGAAGAAACACAGATGGTATCATCAATAGCCCTAGGCTCTTGCCTTATTACACATAATGGAGATGAGTACTCAAACAATTATTTGCCACTGTGGAATGTGTTTTCCCTAGTAACAGTGTCATACATGATTATAAGATCTCTGTAGTTGTCTATTTAACTCTGAAACACTTATGTGGTTGACACCTACACAGAATCTAGCCCAGTGACTTTACTCTAGCTGGAACTCAAAATACATTAATTGAGAAAAATGTTATACCAGTAGAAAAAGGGAAAAGAATAGGGGAATAAACAAGAGGAAGAGCCAAAATAGAAGTTCACTTTTTAACGATATTTAATTTTGGCTATATGTTTACAGGTATAAGTTCTAGCTGAAAAGATTTCAATTTCTTATAATATAAACAAGGATTCCAGGAGACAGAAGATTTTAGGACCCACTTTTAAAGTTTCTAGATCTGTGGTCTATATTATTTCAGCCTCAGTTCTATGCTCTCTTAAAAACTGAAGCCATTCTTTGCAATGGGGAATTTTAATCAGTGTAATTCAATCTTAATGTTGATTAAGTGCTTACTCTGTGCCAGGCACTTTTCTGGTCATTTCACATATATTAGCTCATTCAAACTTCACAAAACTCCAAGGTTTTATTATTGTTTGTATCTTACAGATGAGGCCATTGAGGCACAGAGAGTAAGTAACTTGTTCAAGATCTCATGAGTCGAAAGTAATAGAGTCAGGATACGCAGCAGACAATGTGACTCCGGGGCCATACTAGCAGTCACCATCCTGTATTGGCTCTGTGTAGGCTTAGTGATCCTAGTACATATCATCAAGAAAAGGGTTTGTGAAAACAACCCTTAGATGTTTAAATGTTTTCTACTCATTTATTACCCATTGGAACTTGTTAATTTTATTTCTAGAACACAGTGACAAACTTATTTATAAAGTTGTCTTTTTCTGCCCTCTTTTTTACAAGAGGTAGTAGTAGTAGCCTTTTAAGAAACAAAGTAAGTGTAGAGTTACTTTGGTGAGGACAAATGGTGTAGGGCAATTCTTACATAAGCTGGGCCGGCCTTCCAGGACCTGTTTTTAAGAGGTATCTCCTGCCAGTAGTGAAAGCAACCTACATACTAACGGAATTAATTTTCAATCAGATCATAATGTTTGTTTATTTATATGCATTAAAATCTTCTAGATAGCCAAAGGTACATTTCATGTTTCTTTCTTTTTTCTACTTTATGAGAAGTTTAATATTCTAATTCCATACATTCTATTTTCTTCAGCTTGAATTAAAATGCATTATTTGTCCTGGCTGGTGTGGCCCAGTGGATTGACTGCTGTCCTGCAAACCAAAGGGTCGCTGGTTTGACTCCCAACTTAGGCCACATGCCTGGGTTGTGGGGCCAGGTCCTGTCTCCCACTGGGGGCATGTGAGAGGCAACCAACTGATGTTTCTCTCACACATTGATGTGTCTCTCCATCTCTTTCTCTTTCCCTCCCCCTCTC